GCTTTGGGCTGCAATCATCATGGTCAGCAGTTCAAAACCACTAGCAGCTCCATGGGAGAGAAATACGGGGCTTTCTACTCATGAAAAAATTTACAGTATTGGAAATCCATAGGGGGTTGCTATGAGTCAGCATTGACTCAATGACAGTGAGTTTTGTTTTTGTTTTTCTGACCTGAGGGGCTCATCTTCTGGGCCAATCTCTCACAATATTCCACTGTTCTCCATTAGGTTTTCAGTGACTAATTTTTCCAAGGTGGACAGCTGATTCCTTTTTTATACAATGATTGCAGCAGTACATTAACAGAATCCTGCCAGATATTCAGGCCAGATTCAGACTAGGATGTGGAACAAAGGATGTCATTGTTGATATCAGCTGGATCATGGCTCAAAGCAGATACTACAAGAAAGAAATTTACTTGTGTTTTACTGGCTATACAAAGGCATTCAACTGTGTGGACTATAACAAACTATGGATAGCCTGGAGAAGAAGGGGAATTTCAGAACACTTCATTGTGCTCTTGTGGAACTTGTACGTGGCTCAAGAGGCAATTGAGCTAACAGGACAAGGGAATGCAGCATGGTTTAGCATCAAGAAAGGAGTGCATCAGGGTTCTATCTTCTCACCATATTTGTTCAATGCTGAGCAAATAATCAGAGAAGCTGGATTACATGAAGAGTGAGGTTTCAGGATTGTAGAAAGACTTATAAAGATGATGCAACTTGCTTGCTGAAAGTGAGGAGGACTTGAAGCACTCGTTGATAAAGTAAAGATTTCAGCCTTCGGTATGGATTACAATCCGATGTAAAGAAGACCAAAATCCTCACAACAGGACTAATAGGTAACATCACGATAAATGGAGGAAAGCTATAAGTTGTCAAAGATTTCATCTTGCATGGACCCACAATCAGTGCTCACAGAGACAGAGGTCATGATATCAAATGATGCATTGTGTTGGGTCCATCTATGGCATCAAACTTCTTTAAAGTGTTGACAAGCAAGGATGTTGCTTTGAGGACTAAGGTGTGCCTGACCCAAGCCATGGTCTTTTCAATCACCTCATATGCAGTTGGAAGTTGGAAAACTGAAGAAAAATCCATGGATTTGAACTGTGGTGCTGGTGAAAAATATTGAAAGTCCCATGGTGTTTTGGACCAGATTGACTAGAGAAACAAATCCAGTGACACTCATATATGTGTAAGAAAGAGTTTTCTATCGAGAAGGAATATATCGAGAAAACATCCCAATCCAGTCCAACTCAAGTCCTTATGTCCAATTCTAGTCCATCTGTTTCTCTTCAGACTCCCCCAGCCATATGCAATGATGCAGAATGAAGAAATATAGGCCGGTGGGTGCAAAATCGTGTGGATCTAATGGTGGTGGAAGCATGAGTTGGCTGTGGCAACCAACAGGTCAGCCAGCAGGAAGGTGAAGGCAGAGAGAGAAGGGGAGGTTCCCAGGGCCCTACTTATGAGAAAGCCACACCCACTAAGAGGCACCATCAGGCTGTGACCTGACTGACAGATTGACTACCACCCCTACATATCTTCAAGTTGATATGAAATTGTGTGACTACCAGACATGGGCTGCCAAAAGAACCAACAGGTGTGTCATAGAAGAAGTACAGTCAGAATTCTTCTTAGAAGCAAGGATGGTGAGACTTCATCTCACGTAGACATGTTATTAGGAGAGACCAGTCCCTGAAAAAGGACATCACGCTTGTTACCAATAGAGGAGCAGCTAAAAGGAAGAATATGAAGTGGCACTGTAACTGCATATTCAACAATATGAACTGGCACTGTTGCTGCATATTCGACAATATGAAGTGGCACTGTAACTGCATATTCGACAATATGAACTGGCACTGTTACTGCATATTCGACAATATGAACGGGCACTGTTACTGCATATTCGACAATATGAACGGGCACTGTAACCGCATATTCGACCATATGAACTGGCACTGTAAC